CCTCGGGCCCCTCCCCTCGCGCCTGGCTGCGGCGCCATTACGCACAGGAGGAGCCTGTTCCCCGGCAACCTGGGCTCCTAGGGTTCCGCGGTCGCCGACAGCTCCCGCCCACCTTTAGCTACCCGGGCTCTAGGCCGGACGCCTCGAGAGCAGGATCTGTCAGTCGGGCATGTGCAGCGCAGCGCGCGTCTGGTCGTGACCAGAGAGCCGGAGGCCTGTCCCGGGGGTCTGGGGCCGCAGGGCGGAGGGTGGGCTTCCTCCCTCCCCCACTCGCCGTTTGCTTTCGGCTTCCTGCCCTTGTTTCGGTTTTAACCCTTCACTCGAGTTCTCTCTACTATAAACTATGCGCTTGAGGGTGTTCTGAATGCTGCGAAGACACAGATTTTGATAAGGACCCTCCCCCAGAATCACACATGTGTAAGGGAAGATGAGCGATGCAGTACAGGGAGGAGTGCTAGATGCCATGTGGAAAGCTACAGGATTGGGGCTATGGGAGTTTAAGAGACTCAAAATCTGTCCACTCATGGGGCTCAGGACACTGCTGAGGTCCTACAAGGCAAGTTTGAAAACTCAAACATGATTGAGCAGTGGTATCCAGCCTTTGAGAGGATTCCTTTTTAAGAAATCGTCAGCCAGCTACTGGTGTAGTGATTAAGACGCTTAGATTCCACACAGATACCCACGTAGGCAACTGCATGGTTTAAGTCCCAGACGAATCAGCTTGAAAAACACGTGCGTGTGTGTCCAAAATTTCTAGAAGAGAATGGATGAGAAGAGAGTGCAGCATGGTCATTCCCCGGGAGCAGGGGTGCCTTCTTGCTCGCTTGCTCTCTTGTCTCTGGCATGCGCCACCCTATACTAAAAATTTTAAAAAGAAAGTTCCAAAAGGTCACAATTATTTTCTGGTACCTGATCACCACTGCCACCAGGTATCTAGTAATATTTAGTATTTTTTTCCCCTATTAGTATAATAATGAAAATTGTTACAAATTCAAAAGGTGCTAAAGGGCATATGGTAAAAAGTAAATATTCCTCCTTACTCCAGTTCAAAGGTAAGGAAACAAGCAATTACCTTTTCGTACTCTCTGAATTCCCTAGATGCTTTCCAAATTTACAAACATATATGTAAGTAACTATGATAATTTGCTTACACAAATGGCAATTCATAATATGCTTGGTTGTGAAGTGTTTTGTAGATAGTGCCATGTCAGTATAAGTCAGTCTTACTAATAGCTGCATGATATGCCTTGTAAGAATGACGTAACTAACCAGTCACCTACAGGCTGACTTTTAGGTCATTCTCAGTCCTCTGCTGCTCAGGCTACAGTGAGTATCCTGGCGTAGAATGCTTTTCAGTGGTTTTATATATTCAGGAATCACAAATGGATCTATTAATATATGCATTTAATACAGAGACCAGCAGGTGGCGGAATGGCTATATCGCTGGACTCCCATGTAGTAGACCAGGGTTTGCTGGACCTAGTGGCTTAAACTCAGGTGGGGCGCACATGCGTGCGTGCCCAAGATCCTGAGAGAAGAATGGAGGAGAAGGGATTGCAGAGTGGCCATCCCCCCTGGGGGGTGATTTATTACTTTCTGTCTGTCTGTCTCTGTCTTTCTGGTGAGTGCACGCGCCCTATAGCAAAAAGCCTCTCAAAAAAAAATATATATATATGTATACATTTGAGTAATAGTAGTGCACAGTAAAAGATTTATGGTTAGGTCTGCTGACTTGGTGTACAGGCAGATTTATTATAAGTTACTTATATGTATGTTATCTTTACTTACTGTTGAAAATGTATGGGAAGGACCAGCAGTTGGCATAATTACTATGTCACTGAACTCTCATGTATTTGACTGTGGTTCAAATCCTGAATCTGGTGGCTTAAACTCACTCCGGGTCCGTGTGTGTGCATG